AAAATGTTCCCTGTTAAATTGGCAGGATGATTTTGTAAAGATCTTTCGATGGTGGGCCCATGTGTTCAGGAATTTGGGCTTCAAGAGCAAAGGCCTGTAGCAAAATAAACCTCAAAACCTATGTTTTCACTGATAATCTCCCTTCCCACATCTCTCAAACCCTTGAACCTTAAGGTAAGTATTGGGAGAATGAAATACCTGCTATTGTGGCAGAAGGTTGAGTTTAAGACCTCCAGAGAAGCCTGAACTTACATAAATCCATGGGACTCAGTGAGATGCTTCCCAGGGTCCTAAGGAAATCGATTGATATAGTTGCCAAGCCATTCTTCCATGATAATTGATTGATATAGTTGCCAAGCCATTCTTCCATGATAATTGAAAAGTCATCGCAGCTGAGTGTAGTCTCTGAAAAAGGAAAATAAATTCATTTTTTAAAAAAGTAAGAATTATTGGTCAGTTAATCTCACTTCTGTGCCCAGAAGGATCATGGAACAGATCCTTCTGGACAGAAAATTAGACTATAATGAGAAGACAGTAGGTTTTGATTAGTTATTAGGAAGAAGTTCTTTACTGTGAGGGTGGTGAGGCACTGGAACAGGTTACCCAAAGAAAATGTGGATGCCCCATCTCTGAAAGTCTTCACGGTCATGTTGGAAGGGGCTTTGAGCAACCTGGTCTAGTGGAAGGTGTACCTGGCTATCGTGGGGGAGTTCAACTGCATGATCTTTGAGATCCGTTCCTACCCCCACCTTTCCATCATTTTATGGAAAGTGTTGTAGCTATGATTCATTTAGAATACATTGCATCCCTGAGGTATCCTGTATAGACAACATGAGTACAGAATAAGCTTATGAAACCAGGGCAGGCTCTGCTACTTTTTTTCTGCAATCTTCACAGAAGAACACACCATCTTGTATGCTTTGGTAATTACATGCATATATTTATGCCCATATTTATATGTTTTATGTATACATCTTTATATAAGTCTTTGAGTTAATAAAATGGTTTAGAATTTTTGATTGCTACCTTGTATTTACTCTAGATCAAAACTGAATTCTGCTTGAAGTTGACATTTTTATCTCTATTTTTTACTTTAACAATCATTTGGGACTTCTTGAATGTTCGAGGAAACTCTTCCTCCAGCATTTCTCAATATATGTGACTGACTTTCCCATTACCACACCCTCAAATGCAGATAATTTGAAACAGCACAATAATGAATTCTGGTATGTTAATAATACAGCACACTAGCAGATCTGTCAGTTTTTGAAAATAGCTTGCAATGTTAAAACAGAGTTATGTTGCAAGGTAAGCATTACTGCAGTCTCTTACCCACTTTCGAGACACACATGTTCATATTTGTTGATTTTTCTCTAGCATATACATACCTGACATTGCTTTCTAATAGCATCTGAACCTTCCTTCTGTGCAATGGAAGCACCATCTAGATCCTTACTGTAATACTGGAGACTCCAGTAAAATAAGGTTTTAGCTTTGTAAGAAAACATTGTTTGCTTTCCACAGTTAAGCTCTCTAAAAATAGCTCAAATCCATCAAGCCACATTTGACTGAAAAATAGGGAAATGCTGTAGCTCTTCTTGCTAAAGCTGACAGAAGATATTTTGTTCTCAGGCAGATGAGGTAAGAGGGATCACAGGCTCATTGGCTTCAGGTTCATCTGTCTGAATTGACTCTCATTTTGTGAACTTAGTATACAAATCCACCACTTAATTAAAATATGTTTGTACATATTGACACTGTATCTTGAGGGGAATGCATATTTAAAGCTTGAGCATTATACATTTTTTTAAATGTTCATTATTTAATTTCTCTTTCAATAAACTAGGTTTAAATTTAAAAGGCCTTTACTGCATTATTTTTTCATAGTTTGACTACAGAATGCTTGCAAACTGTCATCTTGCATGGCATTTTGTGTAAGTAATCTACATTCTAAGGCTTAAAGGACTTTCATCTCACTGGAATATCCCAGAAAAAATAATCCTTTTTTAAGACTGTCATATAATACCTGAAAGCAGAGGTTTATGTCAGATACAGAACTGGCAGAACTTTAAATGTTTGCAGTTCCTGACTTAAAAAAAAATCAACCAAACATCTTTTAGTTTCAGAACAATAACAGTGAATTAATATAATTTAGGTAATTGAATTAATGTGGATTTTAAAACTGTGATGATAGATTTCATAAAGGCCATGTGCCAGTGCATTCTTCTTTAGCAGTTTCACATTGTTGAGTTTAGGAAATAACTCAGCACAGCTTGAACAAAGGAAAAATGCCTGTTTTTTCTTGTGCCTGTTAGCTCACAGAAGCTGATGAAGATGATTGGGATATTTCAGCAGCAGAAGAAGACATTTTATTGATGAAAGATGACAAAGGTCAGAAGGCAATGACAGTTCAGAAAAACGAGCCAAATGCTGCATCTGTGGTACATGCATGGGGCCTTCCCAAGAAAAGTGCACCAAAGGAGGAAGGTAATGTATTCATAAGTGACTGACCCACCTAGAGGAGGATTAAGTACAGTACACATTGTAATTTAATAAATGGTGTTTTGTAAGAAAAGAACAAGAAAACCTTTGTGTTTGGTTTCTTGCTTTATAAATATCATGTTTTTATGATACTTAGTGATACATAAACCACGCACACATAAATACACAGAGATACCAACTTAAATTTGAGATTTTAAACCATAATATTATCAGATTTCAATGTCATCTTAAAAATTAATCATCTGAGGTTTTTTCTTTCCAAATTTAGGGGAGAAGGGAACTTCCTTTTTCTTGAGAGTAATAACATTTCAGGTATCTAACTGACTTACCAGGCTGAGATAAATATTTGAACTAGTGCTAAAGCAAAAGCCCCAATCTTACATATAATTTAAATAGTAGATTCTAACCCTAACATTTCAATGTTTGTAAAGGTTAAAGCTGTGTCAGTTTCATAAAGATACTTCTGGTTATTTTTGAAGGGAAACTAAGGTTGACACTAACTGCTTGTACTGTGCTTTATGTTCTGTGAGAGAAACAATCTACATATTAATTTGCTTACTGGTTACAATTTGGGGCTTCCTGAAGTCCACAGGTGTTTGCTCACATAGCATGTTATTTTATAGAAAAATACAAAGTAAAAATATACCCAAAAGTGTATTAATAACTATTAATTGTTCTGTTTGTTTTAAAAGGCCTTCAAGAAGCTGATAATACAAGCACGTTAAAAAGCAGCTTAGTCACTGTAACAGACTGGAGTGATTCTTCAGATATTTAATGGTACCATTCCTGAATGGAGGTCCTGCTTTTTGGTTCTGCAGGGATTCAAAATGCAGGAAACATCAAGTGTTTCCCAGTAACTTCTCTTATTGGTCCTGTAATAATAAGGAATACTGTTTACAGAGCTGTTGTGTCTTTCAGTCTGACTCTGAAAAAAAACATTGAAATATGTATTACTGGCCAAGTCTGTTTGGAAACAAAGTAATTCTTCTTTCTTTCTGTGGTAGTTTAACCCCAGCCAAGCCCCACACAGCCACTCACTCACTCCCTCACCTGTGGAACTGGGGTGAGACTTGAAAAAGTGAGAAAACTCATGGGTTGAGATCAAGGCAGTTCAATAGGGAAAGCAAAATCACACACACAAGCAAAGCAAAACAAGGAATTCATTCACTGCTCTGCAAGGGCAGGCAGGTGTTCAGCTATCCCAGGAGAACAGGGCCCCATCATGTGTAATGGTAGCTTGGGAAGACAAATGCCGTCACTCCAAATGTCTTCCTGTTCCTCCTTCTTCCCCCTCTGTATATACTGTGCATGATGTCACATGGTCTGGAATATCCCTTTGGTCAGTTTGAGTCACCTGTCCCACCTGTGTCCCCTCCAAACCTCCCGTGCACCCCCAGTCCTCACCGATGTGGTGGTATGAAAAACAGAAAAGGCTCTATGCAAGCCCTGATCAGCAATACCAGAAACATCTCTGTTATCAACTGTGTCCAGCACAAATCCAAGACACAGCCTCATACCAGCCACAGTGAAGCAAATTACCTTTATCCCAGCCAAAAGCAGCACACTCATGAGTTCAGTGGTGAAAGTCTCTTTCATTTCTCTGAGGTGAAGATTTTGCCTCTAATGTTTACATTAAAGATTGAAACTGGTCTTGCAAGAAAGCCTGTTAACCAATGAACAGAATATACTGCAGAGAATTACTTTATACAATCTTTAATGCATATTTTGTATATTTTATCATGAATTTTATATAAAATTGTCAACATTTGAAAGAAGATATGTCCATGTATTAAACTATTACGTTTCTACCATGGTTTACAATAAACACCAAATGAAAAGAAAAAAAGGCTCAGCTCTAAAACTAATCATCATTAAATGCCTTCTCTGGGGAAGTTTGTTGTGGTTTTTTTTGTATTGGAGTTGTCTTTGTTAGCATAAAAGGGCAACAAATGGAAAAAAATTACAATGTCAAGCCACAGTAAGGAAGCACTAACCTGCCATTGCAGAAGTACTTGACATTTCTGCTTTGTCCATATTGGCTGCTGTCTTTAAAAAACACAGTAGTGTTTCTACTTAAATGAAGTACAAAAATAACATAAAACAAAAAGAACCTTAACTTTGTAGTTCTAATGTAATCTAGATAATATCAGATACAAAACTTTCTTTATACTGTGCCATTATTAAATGGGACTGTTTATTTTTTTATATTTATACTGTCGTCCCAAAATAACCAACTTTTATTGAAACTCCACAGGTCCATCAAGTCAAACTTCACAGCAAACCTGAGCTTGTGTCTGATTTTAGGGACTCAGTCTAGAAAGCATTTTGTGGTTATTTGTAATCTCTGTTCTCACTTATTGACTTGTACACATATTCCCTCAAAAGTTATCACATGGACAGACAAAGAAAAAAAACTAGCTGAATTTTTGAACTGCAATATGCCAATACAATGTGTGTGATACCATTCACATAAGCAGCTGACATGACAAACTGACTTAGTAAATACCTTGTTTATTTCTTTTCAAGAATGCAACATCAGCTCATGATTTCCAGGTATAAACTTTACAATACCAACATCAATCTTAAAATATATAATAAAATTTACATCAGTATGTAAAAAGCTGCAAGTTAATATTTTTAAAAGTCATTGTCTTAGTAGTAAGTACATTGGGCTTGGGGTAGGGGGAATCACTCTGAATGAAACATAAAAAATCACGTTTAAAAACGCTTTGAGTCTTCCAACAGTGCAACTAAACATAAGCGTTCTTGTCAAAGTGCTTGGGTGGGGTTTTGTCAGGGACACTGTTGTGGACCTTTGTACGAGAAGACATCACAGATGTGGCTCCATTATAGGCATACCCCCTCCTGAAGAGAAAAAAACAACCATTTACAGCTTGTCCCATAGACAGGTGGCATCTCTGCATCCAGGCATTCTAGTAAGAAATCTAGAAGAAATGCATGGGAATGTACCTACAAATTTCAGGAGAGGTGGCACGTTCCTACTCCATGTGGCCCCATTCTAGTTAAATGTTGCCACCCCAGCTATCTCTTTGCATCTGTGTTTACACTTTTCTGTAACATATATCCCTCATTCACAGCTAAGTAAATTAGGGCCTAATCATGACATAATTTAAATTGTGGCAGATCCTGGATGAACAGTTACTCTCTACAGCTGTTCTTTGTTATCACCCCTCTTCAGCTGCTGGAGGTCCCCCTGCCACCACCACTCACTTTTGATCTGATGATTTGAGATCAAAGAAACTTGTCTATTCGTGCCTGTAAAGCCACCTGACCACTTTTCGTACATCTGAATGCACTGTTTTGCAGATGTAGTAAATTTATGAAAAATATATATATCACAAATATTTGTTCTGAGACAACAGCTTAATTACATTAATGGTGGACAGAGCATTATCCTTAAATCCCCTTATTTTCTTTTATCCACAAAATCTTTTTCAGAATCTCATTAAAAAGTGTTTTGGAACAGTGATCAAACTACATACATGTAGCAGGTAAAAATGCAGAGGTATTGTTTTCTTTCAGTAAGTACAACTTGTGTTTTACCTTGCAGAATTACTGTTTTCAGCTATTGAGAAGCAGAATATAATGCCACCAATTATGCAGAGTGAAGCTCCAGCCCATCCAATGAACAAAGCTGCTCCTAATTCATACCTACAAGAAGTCAATAAATGTATGTAACAAAAGAGCATGGATTTAACAGGGTTATTTACATAATAAAATAACTATATATTATATTTTTCTTTAATAACTTTCCATTGACACATTTTTACCACATATTTACCACAAAATCAGCATCTCTGCCATTCACAACATTCTTTTCATTATTTCCCTCTGACTCAGGAGGCAAACTCTTGTCCCTGAAGTACACTTGGGCAGTGCTCCTCTCCCTGCTCAGCCAGGATTAGGGGTTAGGGTTAGGGGAAGGCCTGGCCTTTGTGCATCTCCTCCTGTATTGCTTTGCTGCAGTGTTTACAGCATCAACTCCTCAATTTCAGTTTTGCTCCTGTTGGCTCCCAAACCAAATGGGACTGGGGCTTTTCCTGGGCCAGAGACTACAAGTTCTGCCTACAACCCTCCTTAAGTTTCCCCTCTGGCTCTCAGGATCTTTCTGACTTCCATCTCTCATCATCCACACGCCAGCCTGCTTAAAATATGAGGGTTTGTACATATGCATAGTATGCATATGCAGTATGCATGCAATGTATACATATGCAATGTATGCATATACATACACAGGTGTGTCTGGTATAAGCATTTGCACACACAGGTGTATGTTCCAGCATCTTTCTCCTTCTCTAGTTCCTGTGGCTGGATTCTATCTGGAAGAAACTGCTCCCCAGCACCTCCATGGGCAGAGCTCCCAGTCACCAGCAACAGTCCCCTCTGCTGCCTTGGCCAGCCACAAACTTTGCTGCAAGGAACTGCTCCATTTGTCTCCGAGAGGAGACAGTGGTGCTTTAGGAGCATTATCCCACTAAGTCCATATTTCTAAAGCAAAATAATTAAATTAAGGGAAAGAAGGGCATTGTGAAGTGATTCTTTTCTTTCCTCTCAGTGCTGATTCTTCAAGACAAGCAGCAAACCATGGATGCTCCTTGTCTGCTTCATTCCCCAGCTCTCTGCCTGAGTACCACGCTTAAAGCATTTTAAGGATGACCTGCATTAGGCTGCAGCCCAACAGTCTCCAGAGTCTCCTATTCCTCACCTTTGTAAAACACTTGTATATCTCTTGCTCTTTCTCTGCTGCAGTTTCCCCTTCAGGAGACCTTTATCTTCTCCAGACTTCTGGGATCCTGCACAGAAACACAGGCCCCTGTACCCCATCCAGCCACAATTGTCAACCAGGAGTCTGTGCTGTTCAAGCAGATGCTACTAAATTGATTTGTTGTAAACTGGTGAGGCAGCCAACACAAAACCCCCTACCTGACAGCCTGCCTGTGCAACTGCAACACTGTGTAGTTGCAATTCTCAGCTAGTTCTGAACATTTCATGTGCACAGGCCCTAGTCCCACATTACCAAAATATCTAAGTCAAAATACCTGTCAGCTGTTCTGAAAAAAGTGTATATTTACAAAATGGCACTGCAGAAACATTAAAAAATAATCCAGTGAGGTGTTAGAAGACCCCCAGACCATAAATCATCACTGGACCAAGAGGCACATGCAAGTTCTGTGAAGAGCACATGAGAAGCAGGTGCACAGACTGTGAGGGGATAAAGACCCAGGGATTTCTTTGTTCAGGCTCCCTCTCTGGAGACACCAAGCTCAAGCTGAAATAAACTGACACTGCCTCAGAACCCTTCCTCAACACCAGCATGGAGTTTACAGACCCAGCCCCCAATTTAAACTACTGGGAATCATAGCTCCTTCCACTCTGGAAAACTCTCCACCCAGTCCAGTTTCACTTCAAAATCTGCCAAACTTGCAAAATTTAAATTCTACTTATGCTCACATTTCCAACCACCTTGCTACAGTTTTCACATGACTCAAGGAGATTTGTGTCCCTCCAAGAACAGGGGGTTCTCTGATTAGAAACAGAGATCTACATCAGAGCTCATCAACTGAGATCCCATTATATCCAACATGCAAGAAATACACACAAAGTGCACTTCTAAAACAACTTCAAGGCACTTCTTTCATTGACCTATAAAAGCAGATTAGAGGGACTAGCTGAGATGTAAGTCCCCTCATGGGGATCCCTCCATCCCTACAGGACTGCCAGAGCGCAAGGTACAAGGACCAGGATTAGGCTCCCCACAGAAGTTGATGCAGATCACTACACTGCTGGAGAACAGAGATAGACCAAGATCCAGCATGGCTGTTGCAATAACAACTTACTTGCCTAGAAAGTGGGAAGCACAAATTTCCATATTTTTATCTAACAACACAAAACTGTTGACCTGAGGGACTTAAGGAAGCCAAGCACTATCTTCCCTTCCTGAGACTCTTCAACTCTACAGAAAGTAATCATGACTATATTTGATAGAATTGGGTAGAAAAGGGGTACCTGAGTGTTACATACTAGCTGGGACAGAAGACATGGGGTTCAGCCTTTGTAGTTGGGATTGTTTGACCTTGTGAAGCAATATTTGTAACTATACCATGATTAAACAGATTGTGTGTATGGCCCTTCTCGGGGGACTGCCACACCACCAGGCTAAGGACTTGCAGAGCTATCCTGATAGGTCTTTCTTCCACATCTTCAGAGAAAACAACCTTTCTGATTTATACTGGTACTTAAGAGTAAAGCTCAAGATTTTCAATTGCATATCAATGCCTATATGGGAAGTTAGTCAGATAATTTAAATTAAAAATAGTAAAGAAGACAGGAGGGAAATCCTGATGGCTGACACAAGATGCTGAACATTTTGTACAATTTGTTTCCCATTAACAGTATCTCAAGCCTGTCTTTGACACTGCCAGAATAACTTCAGGAGAGCTATGTGCAGTAAAAGGCAAAAGGTTGAAAACCTCTCTTAGCGAAGAGACAATTTCAAATTTCCACAATATACAAGCAAACATTTTAAATGTGTCTGCAATGCATAACAAAGCAAGGGTTCAGAGATGGCAACAAAATGGAAATTTTACATCAGTTGAGAGAGGAAGGAGCTGAATGCCACCATTGGCTCAGTCTGGTGCAAGGTCACTGCATGAGCTACATGCATTGTGCACAACTCAAATTAAAATATCAGGAATATCCTCTCTGCCTTTATCTTTGCAATCATGATTATGTCTGCCCACAGCTGAGCTATGCTGGTTGTCCACAAAAAAAGGTAATTTCTGGAGAGGATGTTTTACTACTGTTATTTCAATATTTAAACTGGATTTCTCATTCATTCCTTCATAGTAAAATTCCACCATGATGTCTGCCTGATTTTTCACAGCAGAAAAGGGTAAGAATAAAAAGTAAAAAATAAAAGGACTTCTGGCAGAAATCATTGTATTTTTCACTAAGAACAGTAAGCCTGATGAATAATTAACTTCTGTCTATATAGCCAGGCTCAATTTTCTTCAAAGAACCTCACATCCTTCTTTCTTTGGGTGGTCTTTCGAGCCTTTCTTCACTACATCAAATAAGCAGAAACTATAGGGGAATTATGGACAAAACTAAGACTGTATGGAGAAAACTAATACTGTTTCAAGATAGGAAAAGCAGTGTCAACCCTACTGCAAATGTAGATCCCCTTAGTGTTACTTATTCAGACTATTTTATTTCTGTCAAAGTGAAACATAAAGGCTCAGTGTTCCTTACTGATCCCTTACTTGGGTCTCAGGGAAATGTACACCCAATGTTTGGCATATTCTGGAATCACTGCCAAGAAAACTTTAAAATCCTTGCCTTTACAAAAGAGTTTACATCATGCATGAAGGCAAAACAGGAAAATCTGTGATGCTATAATTTACAGCCAACATTTTCAGACTTGGTGGTTAAGAATGTCAATTCAAAATCCAAGCGTTGGTTTGTGGATTGCTGCTTTTGCAGGTCCTTAGAATTTGCTCAGCTTTAAAGGGAGTCTTCAGGGATGCTCATTATCCCTGGTGTGGATCCCAAAATTCTATAAGTACTCACTCTCTTAAATTTAATTACAGATATAGGCAAAGTATTTATGTTAGTGCTTAAAAGATTGTGGGTTTTTATGAGGTTTATGATCCAAATTTCAGTCATTTGAAAATCTGTCAGCAAAATTCCACCAAGCCTGCAGAAACCTCTCCTCAAGAGGAATCAAGTTTGCTTTATCAGATCCACCTGCTATCAAAGGCTCAAGGAAATACTTTTCTCCCTTCCCTATCGAATTATGCATGTACTGAGCCCCTGTGTCTTGTGCAATCCTTTTGCTTCACCTCTGGCATTCATACAGGCTCCATTCCCAATTAAGCCCAGCTGCCCTGCCAGCCCACGGTAGAGCTGATCACATAGATTGCAGAGCCATCACTGTGCAGCAAAGTGTTCATTGAATTTCAGCACCTGGTTGCTCCAGTTAGAAATTGTGGTTACATAAAAATGCAGCCCACTCTCCTCCTCTGCCCAAGGGGAGAAGCAGCTGCTCTCTGTCTAAACAGACTCTGGTGTGCAGTAGAAAACCTAAAGTCTACTTGTTCAAAAGATTTATGGGTATAGGAAAGTACTTACTTTTGTGCAACAAAAGAAGGGTCAAAGAATTCAGACGTAATCCTGTTTGCATACAGGGAACAACTAGTCATAGAGCACAACCCTGAAAAGCATAAGACAAACCATTCAGTGGAGCTGGCAGCAGAGCTTTGGGCCTGACCCTGAAGTCAACGAAGTCATGGAGGTTTGTGCACGGGTTTCTGTGGAAAAGAAGCGCCTCTGGTATGACTTCAAATATGCAGACTGATAGAAATAAAGTATATTTACCAGAGAGTATGAAAATCAGTCCAGCTAAGCAAGCTATTTTTGCTTTAGTCTGATCAGAGCCTCCAACTTTTGTACATTTCATCCCAATCAGTCCAAAAACAGCACCGAAGAAGCCCAGGCAGACAGCAGAGATCATCAATCCTCTGCAGGCTTGGATGTAACCTGTGAGAGAAAGAGCAAGGCTAATATGAGAACTGGGACCATGGCAATTTTTGCTGTAGTTTCTCTCCTTCTGTGCAGCATCAGGCACTTACTATTACAAATAGAATTGGACTTTGGCTGGAACAATATCACTTTACCACTGAGTGTGTTCCTCTAGGTGATGTGTGCCCATCACAGGGCATCTTCACCCATGCCCAGTTCATAAGAATCATACTGTGGCACTCAGGGCTCCAAAACATTATTGATACCATAGCACTGGGTATAGCATCTGCAAGAGGTTATACCCATGAGGTTTAGAAGAGCAACTCCATGTGGTCAGATCGGGTCACAAGTTGCAGAGCCACCCCATGCACTCAAAGCAAGTCTTACATCAGCCAGTTGGGTGTGTGTGTCCCAGGTGCAATATGGTTGGCAGTGAGACTGGCAGCAGTGACCCAGGCTGGGGTCCTGGGCCACTGCTGGGCCTGACTGGATATGCCACTGATTTGATTTGGATCTGCCCAGAAGGCCCTCATTCTGCAAGGAAGTCAGCCACGCACTCAGCTCCATGAACAGCAGTAGTCCCTTGGGATAAAGCAAATCGCTGCCATATTTAAACCTGGACAAACAGCTTGCACCTGGCTTCAGCCACAAGAAATTTGGCTGTGCTGCCCGAGACTTCTCCCAGAGGGACCTCCCAGGGCAGGACCCTTCAACAGGACAATGGGCTGCTTGGCCTCTTCTCCCTTCTGAGAATATCTTGTAATTCAAAGACTGTGATAATCTCATATCGCTGCTTACGGGGTGGAACGCTGCAATCTTACACAGCTGAATAACCATCACAAGATGTTTTTCTTCATAACCTGTTGTTACATCCCATTTAAAATGAAAATGAACTCCAACTAATAGGGCATTCATTCTTTTTGCTTTGATCTCCAGCGGGTGGAAATGTTGAGAGCTAAACCACATTGTCATTGCCTATTACACCAAATTTTATGTAATAATAAATAAACAAAAAAACCCCAACAAACCCTGCATAAAAGTTTTAATATGTAAGAAAATAATATATTAAAGCAGGAACTAGAAGACATCTGATGAAAACAGAAGGCAGCAGACTCAAAACAAAAGGTGTGCTTGTTTGTAAAATGAAGCTGTGGAATTCCTTTCTACAGAATGTATGGACACTAAGGTTTTACTGAGACTCAAAAAAGAGACTGGATGTGTTTCTGATGGAGAAGTCTGGCTGGCTGGCAGGACTTTGAGATGCACATGGCTACCATAGACACTTGGCCACCTTCTGCTATCCTTACTGCCACCTCCTTTAGCCACTGCTGAAGGTATATCAGCTCTAGGATGACAGCCCTGTGCTTGAACAATGTTTTAAATCCCCCACTGACTCACAGATTTGAGCAACAAAGCAATTTGTAGCACATAACTCCCCATTTTAGCAGGCCTGCTGAACCTGGGAGCTGCGCTGCCCATCTGTGAACACAACCTACTAGCATTTATCTACCTCTGCTGGCACACAGACAGACTTCTGTCATTTGCAACAGGCCTCTGTAGCCCACCTGCTCAAGAAAGACACAGTCAATAACATAAATGTGACTGTCATACAGCTCACATGTTGGAATGTAAGATAGAGAGTGATTTGTGCAAGACTCAGGTTTGAAGACAGCGGACTTGCTTTGTTAATTTTTGCTATAGGCATGGAAAACTTGCCTTATGCTGCTTTAAGTGGTGTGTAATGTGTTTCTTGTAGCAGACAGGTAAAGCACAAGATGAAGACTGGAAAGGAAGCTATTATTTTTGACAGGTCCAATTTATTGACAGTGTTAGTTAGCTAATTGACACATTAAAGTGCTGAACCATGAACATGTTTACCCAGAGGTCCTCTAAACTTTTATTTATGTCTGAACCTCCTAGGAAAACCAGTAAATATTCACCCCAACTAAAATATCCAACATCTGCTAGTAACCACAGGGCTGAAATTCAGTTTTTGCTGAAGGTCAATACACAGTTTTAAAATAGGTAGAGGGTAGCGAGACAGCAAGAAATAATTAACTCACTCACTCAGAAATCATTTTCAATTATAAACAGCATGAACTGGAGGACTGCTCAGTTCTGCTGAATGAATAACCTTTCTAGCTAAATAATTCACTGAATTGGGCAGGCCAGCTATAGTAGGGCTTGTTTCAGTTCACCAGAGCAATCAGCCAACTGGCACACATTTTTAAAACAAGATATAGGGGGAAAAAAGTCACAGTTTAGACCAGTACTGTGGAAAAGCAGAAGGCTCTAGTAGTCCAACTAGGTTGATAGAGCGTTAGGAAGCATGAAAGGTGGAAATCAACCTTTTCACCAAATCAAACCTCCTATTGCTTAGATCCTAGATTCAAACTCTGTATAAGATTTGGCTGTAAGAGGCACTAAACCTCTTTTTTGCTTTCAAGAAAGCAAGATTATATTGGGCACCAAGACTTATAGGGCTTGTTCAGCTTGAAGAAGAAAAGGATCTGGGGAGACTTTACAGCAGCCTTCCAGAACCTACAGTGGGCCTACAGGAAAGCTGGAGAAGGAGTTTTTACAAGAGTGTGCAGTGACAGGACAAGGGGAAATGCCTTTAAACTAAAAAAGGGCAGATTTAGGTTAGATATTAGGAAGATATTAGGAAGAAATTCCTTATTGTGAGGGTGGTGAGACACTGGAACAAGTTATCCAGAGAAGTTGTGGATGCCCCCTCCCTGGAAGTGTTGAAGTTTGGATGCAACTTTGAGCAACCTTTACTAGTAGGAGGTGTCCCTAATCATGGTAGGCAGGTTGGAACTACATGGTCTTTAATGTTCTTTCTAACCCAAAACATTCTGTGATTCTATGATAATGAAGAGGAGTGTAAAAGGGAGCTCTCTATTTTTTCCAAGTCCTCCACCCAAGATTAAAACCTGTCCTTTTCCAAATGTTTATGGTCTGTATTTGAACCAGGCCCTGCAGGAAACTTGTCATGTACATACCAACCACCCAAATAAAGCTCCCAAGCAGCAAAAAGCCATGTGTTTTAAACAGACAGGCAGAAAAACATGCATTGCTCATAAAGTCATGTTTAGCAGCATTCCAAGAGAAACCTATTTCAAGGTGAGTTGGTTTTTTTTTGGTTTTTTGAGGTTTTTTTTGTTTCAAACAAATGTGTTTTGTCTTGCATTGAAATTAATCTTGTTAAAGCTTCATCTTTCTTGCCTCACTGCTCTCACACTTGCCTCATGCTTACGAAGACTTAGAAGGCATTCACATACTCATATCATATGACACTATGGAAAAAATATATATGCAAAGTTCTGGGGACTGCCACTTTCACAATAAATGCCTCTGGTGGAATTTTGCTGTCTGCATCACGTGAAGTGTAAGAGGTTGCCTTACAGTTACAGCACAGATTCCTTCCAAAAGTACACACCCATTGCTTTTGTATGTCTTTCTAAGTTCTAATACCCTCTTGTAGCTCATAACTGAATTTTTGTTCAGCTCTGTTCTTGCAAAAGGTCATCAGATCCACTGTAGGAAACATAGAAACTGATACATCCTCTTTTGGGGAGGCGGTTTCATCAGTAAATTTCCACCTATGACCAGTGGCACAAAAAGTAAACCTGAAATGACTTTTAGCCCCACAGACAGGAAGAGCATTTGTGCTTGTATAAAGAATGTGGGGCTCAGCATTTAATGAGGGCTGGTCAAATTGGTTTCTTCTATAGGAATGCATAAAGGTGGAAGGAGCCACAAGCAATTTTCTCTGGAAGCCATTTGTGTGGAGTGGTGGCCTGAAAGCCATGATGGGCTGCTGTGCCATGCCACAGCAAGCTGGAGAGGACAGTCCAAGCCCCAGTCCATGATACCAAAACAAGAGTAAAGAGGAACCATCTCCTGAGCATCCCTGACCTGAGCTATAACACCGCTTCTGAAAAGGAAGGACTTCTCCTGCACTCCACAGAACTCCAGCAACTACAGTAGAATCATAGAGTCATCGAGGTTTGGGCAGGGAGGGATCTCAGAAGTCATCTGGTTCCTACCTCCTGCCATGGGCAGCGACACCTCACATAGACCAGGTCCCTCAAAGTATGGTCACACTGCTTTCTTTGCCCCTCATTTTGCCTCTGATCCCCTGGAAGACCTGAGCAGTCTCTTGGAATAAGAAGTCCAGCTTACTTAGGTTTCCAGTTTGACCAATAAAAAAAATTCTGTAGAAGAGGAACTGCTCTGAGAGGCAAATCCTCTCCATCTGTGTGACAAAGGAGTGGAGCTGAGCCATATTTCCACAGGACAGAATTTTTTTTAGGAATTTTCCAGTCATGCTCTACCATTTTGAGGCGAGCAACATATTGTCACTATATGTATCTTTACAGGGTTATTGTTTCAGCTCACAAACACTTCCCTGAGAACAGAAATCAGATCTGCCCTGTTTGTGTATTCTGAGTCCCCCCACCTGAGGATGGAGTCAGGAAGTTCTCACATTCCCAGTCACAGGGAATGGGATCCACCTTAGACATGTAGGTCTGGGCAAAAAGGAAGAGGAGGGAAGGAAGAGGCTAGACAAGGGCTGAGGCAGACTTGTCTACTTGTTGAGACAAAAATTCTTTAAGCCACGAGTGACACACCACAGCGCTGAAGTGCACTCCCCCACAGGGGGAGGGTTAGGGTGAAGAGGGGACATACACACCCACACTCAGCTGCTGGCAGGTTCCCTGCAGAGCCTGTAATCACAAGGAAGGGTGTCTGGGCTAGGCTACCTACTGAAAGCACCTCTGACTGCAGTGGCTGCCCCTCTGACCCCACCCAGCTTGACTGGTCTGTGCTGGGGGGGGTACATCACTCCCCCTCCAGCCTGCCTTTCATTCATCTTTCATTCATGTTGTGCCTGGGTACCAGAATCTGGCCCCACAGCATTTAAAGATGCTGTTGAGAAACACTGAAGCCAAGAACTTTCTCCTACTGATAAACAACCTGGCCAGAAGGGTCGTGACAGGGCTCTTCCAGATGTGCATTTCAGATTAATTTCTGTCCGAAATGAGCTGATGGTTCTTTCACTGTGCACAAGGCACCTCAGAAACTCATTCTTTGGCCAAGTGGAACATCCTACCCAACACTCAAGGCTTCAATGCACAAGCATTTGGGGGAAAGTTGGAAAGGATCTTGCTGTCAAGTGTTGTCTTCTTTTTGAAAATTTAAATCCTCCCAATTCTTCATACATTGAAACTATGCTTTTCTTACTTTAAAATCAGATTCACCCAGATCTAAAAGAACAGCTAAACAATAGATTCAAGGGATTCAAAAGGTTTCGCACCAGCGATCACTCCATGCCTGCCTGCACAGAGACCCCTGCTCCTTGCCCAGTTCTGGAAACTACACTCTCAGCTGCTACACTTAGCTACAGAGTGACTGATGTCAATGGAGGCCAGCCAGCTCTCCTATCCCTTCAGACGAACTGGCAAATTCCTCTGCTGCCACAGGGCTGGGTAAAAAGAAAGTCTGGGAACAGCACTTCTCCCCCGAGGGAAGCATCCTGCAGTAGGGGTGCTTAAGGGTTGCCTGTGTTACCTCATTTTGGTACCTTGACCTCTTTCAGCCCGTTATACATACAGAGGTTAAAGGTTTTCTGATATTGATATTAACATCATGTTCATATTAATCCCTGTTACAATTTGTATTAATTTCTGTTAGTGATTAGATTAATAGTCCTTCCTTTCATCTTAAACAGAGCTTTTACACCAAAATAACTTCTCAGACTCCAGTGCTAAGGGAATGTCTTGCCAGACTGTGAACAGTAGGCATGATCTTTTGTGAGTATCAAAGCCACTGGAACACTGCATATTGCATTCATTTATAACTATAAAAACTTAGAAAAGCTGCCATAATTTTAGAAGCCTTTCTTCCCTTTCTTCACAGCCACTTCTGAAACTATAAACTAATGTCATACACACGTCTCCTGTTTCTACCAGCCATGATCAGTGTGGATTTATCAACTAAAAGTTTAACTGTAAAGATTTCCTGCAGTGAACCAGTTTCCCAGTACAGCTCCCTTAAAGGGCAAAAATGTTTCCCCTTAATGAGGGAGGAAACGCAGCACCGATTGAATCTTTAGTTTCAATCCCTATAGCAAAACTCAGCTTTGCTTCAAAATAACATTGCCCTAAAGCTGAGCAAAGCTATGCATCCCTTCTGCATACCTTTGCATCCCTGACTGCCCCGAGCTTTCACACTGTCATTTATCAATGAAGCAATTACATCTGAGTTAATAACCACTTAGCAAAACCAGCAAAGGAACATTAATTAAAACAAAACTACGCCAAGGCTTGTTCTTCTCCACCGACCGTTGCATGGCTGGCAAAACCATAAAAAAGAGGAATGTCACAACAGTCGGAAAATAAACCGGCAAGAAAAATTTGCTTGCATTCTTCTTGTGTCAAATCCACACATACACTCTTCTGATGGGGAAAAAAAGCCAGGTAGTGGCAGCACGAGAGCCCAAACCGGACACTTGGGCACCGAACACAACCTCCACTAGTGGGTTTTTGGGAGGAAAAACCCCACTTCCACAGGTGTGCACACGCAGCACGCTGCCACCTGCCTGGGGACACGGGAGCACCTGCCCGTGAGCCCGCGGGGAGCTGCCTCCGTCCGGGTCCCCGCCGCCCCCCGGCCCCGCTCGGCGCAGCCCGAGCCCCGCTGCCCGCCCGCCCCGCCGAGCCCGGGAGCGGCCCCGGGAGCTCCCGCAGAGCGGCACGGGGGACACCGGGGAGTGTCGGGTTGGGGGTCAGCGGGAGCCTGACCGTCCAGCGCCAGCATGGATGGGAAGTCCTTGCAGTTGGAGACGCCGGTGGAGTCGGTCACGCAGGTCTTCCATAGGTTGGCCCAAAAGGTGGCGGTGGTAATGACCGTGCCGTCGATGGTGGACACTTTCCAGTAGTCGGTGGGCAGCGTGGAGGAGACCAGCACCCATCCCGAGATGGTCAGCAGGAACGCGGTGATCTCCGCCGACGTGCTCGCCATGGGCCCGGCAGCAGGCGGCGGGCGGCGCGGAGCCGCGGCGGATCCCGGCGGAGCCCGGGGCGGCGGATCCCGGCGGCAGCGGAGCCGAGCGGAGCGGAGCGGAGCGGAGCGGAGCCGAGCCGAGCCGAGCCGAGCCGAGCCGAGCCGAGCGCGGCGGGGCGGGGGCGGCGGCCGCGGCCGCGCAGCCCAATCAGCACCGGCAGCTCCCGGCATGGCCCCGGGGCCAGCCCCGCCCCGCCGGCCCCGGCATCGCCCCGGGTCCCCGGAACGGACCCAGCACGGCCCGGCGGGTGCTCCCCGGGGTGACGGAACGAACCAGACCCGAGAGCAAACAGCGGTGACCTGTAATTTGGGGTTAGATTCCCCTTCCTCCGCAGGTGCAGGAGTCGGGAGGGAGGCAGCAGAGGGGCAGGTGCGTCCTTAGCATCTCCTTCCCAGCCGCAGGTTTGCGTCTCTTTCCGAACGACCCCGTGCCATCCTCCCCACAAACAGCCTTGCTGGGAGGGCAGCTCTGAGGAATTCTTGTTGAATACAGGTGTGCCGACCGTGAGTGCTCCATATTCCTACAGGGGCATAAGCTTTTAAAACGCATAGCAGGGTTTTTTAATCCTCTGAATTTAAGCTGGCCCCTGATATTATCCAGCCACAGGTGATACAGCGTTTGATACCTGTTTTTGCAATGTGAGGGGATGAACTTCGGATTTTCTACCCCAGTTTTTATGCAGCGGCATTCAAGCCTGCAGCTCACAGGTGGAGAGTTATCCACAGTGGTTTCTCCTCGTTTGAAGCTGTTTACTTTCCACATCAGTAGTATATTTGCCATTGATGTGGAAAGTACACTGCCGGTCTTTACTTTCCTCCTATTTATGTCAAAACTATTGTTACATTTTCTAAACCTTTTTGCCAGATGGACAATCACTGGAGGATAAGAAGCCATATTTGCACCATTATTCTTCTGATGAATGCTCTTTGGTTTTGCCGTGTGGACACAAACACGGATGTAATCACTTTACAGACATATATATTTAAAAAAAAAAAAAAGATAAAAAAAGGAAAGGAAAAAGGAGAAAAACCTCAGCGTTGGGTGTACCTTTGGATGTGTGTCAGAACTCAGTGGGAACAGGGTGTTTGTTATCTGTTAGTGCTCCAGCAGGATAAAAGGGTGTCCACAGACGCATTTCCTGACGCAGTGGCTCTCTGCCTGCTCTCTGCCTCCCTGGTACCCTCTGACTCTCAGGTGACGCACAGCAGCATTGGCAGAGGGAGAAGGAGGCAAGAGGCTTGTTTGCACAGCAGCACTGGGCATGGGGCATGCTACAGCTCCATTCAACCTCTGTGCCAAGCTGCCTTCCTCTCTCCTCAGGAGGGAAAAGAAACAGAGTCATGAAGAAGGTGAGCCAACCTCCTGTGTCATATCAGGTTGTAGCCAGAGCTCACTTTGGAACACTGGGATGACTACAGATCCAAGTCCCATCTCCATGATATTATGATCCAGTTATTGTAGGGCATGGCAGCAGAAGGGAAAAAGGGAAGGAAGATTTTTTTCAATATTTCCCCCCATCATAGTGCTTTGAGATCTTGCAGACTGGAATTGTGTTGGTAGTGGCAAAGTAGATCAATCCAAGCTATCAACTAGGATCTAATGAAGTCTGAGGTAGGAGACTCGAGTCCAAACTTGGGTCATCATGTTTCTTGACATGGGAAGTTCACCTATTGTTTTGTTGATAACACTGCTTTGCTTGGTGAATCCAGGGAGTAGCATTTGGGCAAATTTTGGCCAGGGCCCATCAGAACATTTTGGTGTACTGTCATGCAATAACCAGAAGGCTAGAGTGAGTGTTGAAGGGCAGGAATGCAGCCAGGACACCTCTAGGCCAGAGTCTGAGCTCTTGAGTCTGGGATAGAGAGGAAGAGGGTCTTCCTGAAGAGCATAGGCACTTCTCCCCAGAGGGCCAGCAGAAATGGCAGGCTGGTGAGTGACCCTGCTGAGAGTGGGCAGTCTGCTGAAGCTGCTGTGGCCTCTGGCTGTCATGTCCAACAACCATTTGTGCTGTCCCAGACCATGTTGCTTTCAACAGAGCCAGACTTGGCTGCCATGTACAGTGTGAATCCATGTCTCTCTGTGGGCCACCTGTCTGCTGCCAGGGATATCAGGGTGTGTCCATGGAGGTGGCTTAGGACACATTAAATTAAATTATTTCAACCTCAAACTCTCTGCCTGCCCATAAGGACCCTTCAAGCAGGGCTAATTTATATGTTTGTTCCCTTGTAGGCCTTGTTTTATTCAGAATGTTGTAAAGTGTGCATGAGAACCAGACTTGCTTTGGCTTCAGAGAATGGCTCCTCCTTTCATCTCCTGACACTGTTGCTTCTGAGGATGTTTTATGTTACTAATCCAGTTGTTACCATTTTTCTCATCTAAAATCAGAGCAAGATGTTGCACTTCTGATCTCAACTTTGGTGATGTAAACCCAAAATGGCATAGTGCACAGCTGAATGTTCACCCCAGGCTGAAGAGTAAGGCAAGTTGCAAGAGAATACTCTTCCCCCATGACATTTTCTTCACTGTCTGGATTCATCTGGGAGGCTCTGTTTCTCCCCTGTATATTTTTTCAGCTTCTTTCTCTTGTGCAACTGCAAGTACCTTTACTGTGAGCTTAACTCATGCATCTTCCAGTTTTCCAGGATACTGTGGCCTCTTTTCTCCCTCTTCATGTAGTAGGAACTTTAACATCGATATGAAGACATTTCTATCTCTTCAACTTCTGTCTTCCTGCCACCATAGCTCTGGCATTGGATTTGCCTATTTGGCTTTCTTACCTATTTATAGTTTATGTAGTAGAGCAAAAGACTTGTCCTTTGGGTTTGTTTGTTTGTTTGTTTCTGATTAGGTTTTTTTTTGTTTGTTTGTTTGGTTGGGTTTTTTTGTTCCTGACAAGTTATGACTCGGGAATTTTTTGAAAGTTCCTCAGGTCACTGTGGGACTGATTTCTTTTTACTTCTGTTCATAAGTAGATCATGTCAATACAATAGCACAGTTTTGTGCTGGGTCATTTGACTGAGTATGGGGTTTATTGCCTTGGATTGGGGACTGGGTTTATTCTCTTGGACTTAAGAAAGGTGCTCATGTCTTTTTTTAAAAAAAGACAGCCCTTGTGGTTTTTTTTTTTTTTTTTTTTTTTTTTTTTTTGTGGCAAGTTTCATTTTCTCTTGGGCATAAAAGTAGCATTTAGGGGAGAAATATTAGTATGTGCTTAGAATAGGCTATTTCCTTTGGAAGGGACCTGTGCTGATCATCTAGTCCAGCTGCCTGACACTTCAGAACTGACCCAAAGTTAAAGCATGTTACTAAAGGTATGTCCAAATACCTCTTAAACACTGATGGTTTTGAGGCATCAACCACCTCTCTAGGAAGCCTCTTCCAAGGTTTGACCATGCTCCCAGCAAAGAAATGCTTTTCCTAATGTCCAGTCTGAACCTTCCCTGGCAGAGCTTTGAACCATTCCCACGCATCCTATTGCTGGATTGCAGAGAGAAGAGATCAACTTCCCCTCCTCAGGAAGCTGCAGAGAGCAATGAGATCACCCCTCAGCCTCCTTTTCTCCAAATGAGACAAGCCTAGAGCACTCAACCACTCCTCACAGGACATGATTTCCAGCCCTCACCAGCTGTTGCCCTCCTATCAATGCATTCAAAGACCTCAACATCCATCTTAAATTATGGACCTAGCACTGCACACAACACTCTGGGTAAGGCCACACCAGAGTTAAAAAGAAAGGGATAATCCCCTCTCCTGACAGGCTGGTGATGCTCTATTTTATGCACCGAGGAAGGGATTTGCCCTCCTGGCTGCCAGGACACTTGGCTGACTCACACTGATCCTGCTGCTGACCAGCACCCCCAGATCCCTTTCTGCAGGGCTGCTCTCAAGCCTCTGCTCTCCCAATTTTTACTTGTGCCCAGCTTTACTCTGTCCTAGGCACAGAATCCAGCATATGGACTCATTAAATTTCATCCCAATAACCATTGTCCAATGCTTCAATGTATTGAGATAACTCTGCAAAACCTTTTGTTCCCCAAGTGTGTCAACAGCACCTCCTGGGTTGGTGTCATCAGCTAATGGTGTGTTCAAGTCCTGCATCCAGATTGCTGATATTAAACAGATCTGGCCCCCAGGAATGAGTTGTGAGGAACACCACTGGTGACCATTGACCATCCAGATGTAGCCTCACTACAACCCTTTGTCCTTCAGCCAGCACACCATGAATCCATTCATCTCACAGCTGGACAACTTGTGCGGAAGGATGTTGTAAAGAACAATATGAAATCCCCGACTTAAATCCAGAAAAACTCCATCCTCCACCTTCCCTTCATCCAGCAGGTGGGTGACCTTATAATAGAAGGATATAAAATTAGTTAAACAGGATTTTCCCTTTGTGAGCCCGTGTTGACTGTGCATGAGGATTTCATTGTTCTTTAAATGCCTTTTGACAGTACCCAGTGTGATCTTCTCTGCAACTTTTCCAGGAACTGAAGTTAGACTAACAGGTCTGTAGTTCCATGGGCCTTCCCTCACATCCTTCTTGTAGATAGGAATAACATTGGCTCACTTCCAGTCAGCAGAGACCAAACCAGGGCTACTGAGGTTTTTGAACTACATACATTTTACAAATCAGGCTGGAATATTAATAAATAGTTGAATTTTTATAATGTAAAACTTTTATTTTATTGCCATATACAGAATAACCCTTCTGAGATGGTTTTGCTCTCAAATCTGAAATAGATTATTTTAGCTCTTGCAGTCTCAAAATGACAAGTAATCATTATTGCCTCATAAGTTAAACACTGTATGACAACAGCATTTGTTCTGCAGCCAGGATAAGAAGATTAGGGTCGTCATGCCTTTGTCCTGGAGTAATTTTTCTTGTAATTTTACCATGCATAGGTTGGGCAACTTGAGACTCTTTCATGGCTTTGCCATGTTATGATTTCCAGGGTGCC